AAGAATGGGAAAACTAGCGATGAAGTAAAGTGCGTATGGTGCTGGGGAAATAATAGTAATAATAATAATAATGTTAGATTTTTGTTTTGTTTTTTATTTGTGATTTTCAGTATATAGCTTGCTTATTTTAAAAATTAATTAGAAATTTGTTCGATATTATTGAATGGTTGAAATATATATCGTAATAAATGGACTCTTATATTGCCACTTTTGTTATTGTGTGTTTTTACTGGGCATGAAGACACGTACAATAAAAAAAAGGAGTTACCATTTTTATTTTAATACCTTAAGACGTAATTCAAATGTATGCTCTATTGATTGAATTTGCATGATGGTTGAAATATATGGCAATAAATGATCTTTTAGTTATTCACTTCTATTCTTGTGTATACACCTGTACCTGCATGAGCGAATAGGTATCATGGAAACACATGATTTAGCATAGCAATTTACTAGGTCCTGCCAAGTTAAACTCGGTCCGGATGAATAACCCTAATCCTCCTCCCCTAGTAGGCCTATCAGCCCTTATTAACTTATAATATGGTATGCTAACACAACTGTCAGGACACTTTTCACTTAGCCATGTTTCACTGATTCTAATTATATCAAATTTATGTTGTTTTATTATTTCCGAAAACATATCAAAATTGCTAAACAGGGTGTGACGAAGAAAACTAGAAGGAAATAAGAAACCCAGCACTACGGCTCCAGCTGCTCTCGGTGGTAGGGGTGGTTCGACGATCCTGAAAGAAATACCTATAAATGCTCCGAAAATTTAGGCGCCACTAATTTTTCAATAGTTCCAAGCCGTACAGGAAAAAAATTAGAAACCTGCTCCTGTTGGTGTGGAAATGCAGGGGTAAAACTAAAAAAAAAGTAATAGAGAAAGATAGCGGGAAAGAAAAGGTATTTATTCTTCAAGGAAATCAAGAATTTAACACAGATATTGTAGGGCGAATGATGATGATTGATAATGGCACGGAATGATAACAGGGAAGAAAAACGGCAAAAAAAGAAAACGGTACGAGATCTCGTCTCACAGCAAAACAATAAAATTTGACTAAATTACTTATTAAGATGTAGGGTGACTGAATTAATGTGATGGGTTTTTTTTCTAAATAAACTTAACGGATTTTTTTTAAGGTAGGTAGGTAACTTGAAAACTTGAACTTAGCTGTTCTGGCTCCTGAAGTTGTCCAGCAGTTATTCGGCGGACTTGGCGGTGGTAGACCAGTGGCTAACTACAGGGCAGATTAAGGATAGGGATGCGGGTTGAAGGGAACAAGGAAAAAGAAATTTGAGGGTATCGAAAGAAGACTGAAGACGGACGACTGAAGATTGAAGACGGACGACGACGAAGATTTCTTAGTAGAAGATAGGTACGTATAACAAGTATAGACAAGAAATAACTAAAACTACAAGGCCCTAGAACAAAAACCCAACATTACGAGCTAAAACTATCACAAAAAGGCTACTTACGAGATGGTGTGGGCCTTAAGATATATAGATATGTATGCTCAATTAAATTGGTGGACGGTGAAATAAAGCTCGGATCCTAAGAGACAACGAAGAAATAGAAAAGGATACAGACAACAAAAATAATACTTACACAAGGGTTGAAATCCGGCGAGCAAGGGTAACATATATATATTGGTTGTAGGTAAGTTCACAAATACAAATGCGCTTCCTTTTCCACTCTTAATCCCCAAAATAGGGTTTCCAAGGAAGAAATACCAATTCCTGGTAATGAGTGGAGACTTTATGACGAGGGTAGAAATCCCAAAATTGTCGGATAAAAGCGGCTGCAAAAATGCCGCACCTCACAAGCACACCTTACAATTGACAATTGACCAAAACGGAAACGAAACGTAGAAGAATTTGACAAAACGAACAGTAATACCAATAATTAAGGAACATAAAAAGTCAGCGGGAAAAGAAGAATAGATTTTTGAAAAGAGCGGGAAAGAATAGCATAGTTTACAAGAACTGACAATAGATGACACTGAAAGCGGACCAGAGGCGTAACATGGAATAAAATAGTACACATAAGCTTCGAAAATTAGAATAGTGAAAACAGTAAGGAAAGGAAAAGCGTTTAAAGCGTGAAAACGTAAATACAATTGTAAGAAGAGAGCAAGAATCCAAAGAAGCGAAGAAATCGAAAGAAGAAATTTAAGAAAATAGGCACGCCTATGTGATGAAAATCAAATCAAAATAAACAAATTCCTAACCTAAAAACTAAAGCAAAACTTAACTAAAAATGGACCTGTAACAAGAGAACGGACATTAACATGAGCGACATTAATATTATTTAGTTTTTTGGCTTTGCAATTGTGAGCACACCATTTATATACCGAATGTAATGCTTTATGTTACTAGAGGAGTTTAATTAATCTAATTTGGATTTGACAGTTTTAAAATAAGCACGCTGCATAGGTGTTTGATCCAGACTTATACCAATATTCGGATATGTAGTGGATAATTTACGCTTGTTTTTGATGATGTTGATAGTGTCGTCTTTGCAGTTTAGGGTAATAATGAGAGGACGTGGCAATGTGACATTGCTATTTCCAATGCGGCGAATTTTTATATTTTCCGTTTTGATTTGTGGCGCTAAGAATCCAATAATTTCCTTCGATCGGTTTAAATCCTCGCTTGATTCTTCTAACTTGTAGATCACAATATTATTTTCGCGACGCTGGCGTTCAGAGTCTCATTTATTACAGTTTCTATATTTTGATTAATAGACTTATCGTGTTGCTTAATTTGAGTTTTAAGGTCATCTACTATTTCACGTAATTGTTGTATTGTGGTCAGCAATTCCGGAATTAAATTGCAGCAACTACAATTATTACCAGGATTATCTTTGCTACTGGCTACCTTATGCTTTTCGCGACAAGACAAACAATTCCAGGTAAATCCAGTTAGCGTTTTTACCGTATCTAGTTGTTGCTTCGATAAATCCACAAATCCATTTCAAATGAAAGAAGAGATTACATGTAGGGTAAACCATACAGTAATTGGACACCCAACAGTTATTGGACATTTGGCGTTTGGAACCCTGTAATAAGAATTGCGGGCGTTCTTTTCTTGTTTTGTTGTCTTCCTGCTAGATGGCAATATGTTACCAATATTTTGGCGCATTAAAATTTCCCGCCAATTATTTCTTTATCGTGAGAAATTCAGTTGACGTTAACCTATGTTCACGTCCGTTAAGTTGTTACGATTTTTTTAAGGTTAACACTTCCGCGAAAGTGGTGCTACGTACAGATCGTTGAAAATAGACCATTGGGCAGAATACTAAGGCAAGTAAAGGTTGTATTACATCGTTTTACATAATATTCATGTTCATTAATCTAATTATTTATAACAAAAACAAAGTGTCCAAGTGATATTATCACTTTTTAGTTATTGGACAGGGTGGCCAATAACTGAATCTTGGTTCATTCTCATCTGTGTTCACTATGTAGTAGGACAATATGTACTATAATCGCTAATATAGCGGATTTTAATGTAGGAGCGTTCTGGACAGTTATTGGCCACGTGTCCAGTTACTGTCTTATAAGTGGCCAACTACTGTATTTTGAGAATACATTGTTTTTATAGTGTCTCGCCATGCCAAAACGTATTGGTTATGAAGCAGCCACAATGGCCAAGGCTGTTTCTGAATTTCAGAATGGCAATACATCGCTTAGAGCCATCGCAAAAAAGTACGCGGTCCCAAAATCGACGCTTGAATTTAAATTAAAGAATCCTGATCACAAGCAAACTTTTGACCTTCGCCTGTTCTCACAAATTCGGAAGAAGCTACATTAGTTAAGTAAGTTGTTTATTTATTTTTCTGTCTGTAGTTAGAATAGCAAACTCGAATAGCGAAGTACCGGTACGTGACTTCTTATTTCCTTTTTTTGTGCTTTCTAGATGGATTGCAGAACTTGCTCGGAAAGGATTTCCTAGAAAAAGAGACGACATTATTGCAAGTGTACAAAATTTCCTAATAGCAAATCCACGTCCCAACCCATTTACGAATAATCGTCCTGGAGCTGGTTGGTTAAAGGTAATAACAACCACATACTCACTTCCTAAAAAATAAAACATAGGATTTATTTTTATAGGCGTTTTTTAGACGCCATCCTGAAATCACAGAAAGAACAAGTGAAGCAGTTACTTCAGCTAGTTCATGTGTTTCCGAAAAGGATATTCGAAAATGGTTTGTTGAAGTAAAAGATTATTTAAAAGAAAAACAACTTGAACAAGTAATAGAGGACCCAACTCGCATTTTTAACGGAGACGAAACAGGTTTCCAAATATGTCCAGAAACAGGGAAAGTTTTGGCACCAAAGGGAATAAAAAATGTATATACCATCGATCAAGGGTCTTCAAAGGAAAACATAACTGTTATGTTCACGTTTTCGGCAAGTGGATCAACTTGTAGCCCGATGATAGTATATCCCTATAAAAGAATTCCCGAAAAAATTTCACAGTCTGTTCCAGCTAATTGGGGAATTGGTCGCAGCGATAGTGGGTGGATGACTGCCGAAGTATTCTACGAGTATATTTCAAAAGTATTCTATCCCTATTTAATTGCCGAAGGTATAACATTCCCAGTGATATTATTTGTAGATGGGCATAAGTCCCATCTCACTTACCAACTCAGCGTTCTTTGCAGTAACCTAGCAATCGAAATTATAGCATTGTATCCTAATGCTACTCGTATATTGCAACCCGCAGACGTAGCTGTTTTTCGCCCAATCAAGGTAGCTTGGCGAAAAGCAGTAAGGAATTGGCAGTCAGATCATCCAGGAGAATCCCTAACTAAGCTTTCCTTTGCACCATTACTAGACGAAGTCGTTAAATCTAGTGCCAAACCCGATATATTGGTAAATGGATTTAAAGCATGTGGGTTGTATCCACTAAATGCTGACGCTATAGATTATAGCAAGTGTCTGGGAAGTTCCAAGAAAAATGAAACATTTGACAATAAAATAACAGACACCACAATGAAGTATTCCACATTTGCAAATATCGTTGGAAATGAAAAACTTGAACAGTTTAAAAGATTAGATGCAGTCCTTCCAGAAGGAACAAACAACGAAGACTTTTTTGCTCTATTTCGTATATGGAAACATTTTGAAAGCACCAAGGAAGAGCCAGACCAAATTATAAATTTATCTAACGAAAAAATTGATAACGAAGATTTGCCTCAAAATATGATTGTAACAGATGTGTTGTCAGAACAAGAAAGTGGCAATACAAAAGAGGCAGATGGAGTAATCGCCAGTACTACTGACCAACACATTACAACTGCAAACGTAGAGGTACCAGAAAATAACGAGGATTCGCCCCAACATATGATTGTAACGGATGAGTTGCCAGAACAAAACAGTGATATTAATACAAAAGAGACTGATGGAGCAATTTCCAGAACTACTCACCAACAGAGAACAACTGCAGTGGTAGATGTAGCTAATAATGTCTCTATCGCTGAGTTTCTTGACTGGCCAGATTCACCCAAACGTAAAGGAAAACGAGAGACCGAAAGGTTGCCGTATGCTGTAACTTGTAATAAATATCAGGAAATGCTAGCAGAGAAACGTGCTAAGAAGAAAGAAGAAGAAGAACAGAAAAACAAAAAACGTGCTCTAAAGAAAGAAGCAGACGAAGTCAGAGCGAAGAAGAAGAAAGAAGATCAGGAACTCAAAGAGATCAGAAAACACCAACAAAATATTAAAAAATTAGAGAAAACTCAGAAGAAAGCATCAAACGTTTCACGTAAAAATAAATTATGTGCGGCTAATAAGATAACATGCTATGTTTGTGCCAAAATAATAAAATGCAATGAGTTGTCTTGTGACGAATGTAAACAATCATTTCACAAATCGTGTATTCCAGCGTCTCATAAACAACATATTCCAGACCCTACTGATAACGATACTTTTCTATGTCATATCTGCTACAAGGAAGAATCGGATAGCGATGTGGACACTGAAAAAGAAGAAGAACAAGAAAGTGAAGAAAATGAAATCGAGGAAGAGAGGCCACCAGCTGAAACCGAAGAACAAGAAGATAAAGAAAATGAAAAAGAGGAAGAGAGAACACTAGCGGAAACAGAAGAAGAAGAAAAGGAAATCGATGAATTATATAATATGTATACTTCTGCAATAAAACATATACAGGGTGATTCCTATAGTACCTGCCACCGTTTGGGAGCGTATAGGGGGTGCCTAGGGGAGTATTTTGATATAGGACACTTGGGGTCGGAAATCTAAAATAAGGGCGCCAGAACCAAATTTATCTTCTGGAATTTCACGCCTGTATGTAGGCAACCCAACCGACCGACGTTTCGCGCGGAGCGATGCAGAGCGAGTTAGCGCGAGGAAGCGACATGGGAGGGAAGGAGGGAAAACGACAGTCAAAAGCAATAACGTTTACAAGTGTTCAACGTGGCCACCGTTGTTCTCAATGCACTTCCTACATCTAGCCAACTATTATTATACTATTGCCATAGTGTTTATTCACTTGATACGCGTCGTTGCAGACGGGATTTCGTGGGTTTAAACAAATTCTGATCAAGTGTCAGCCACACATCGCCGCCTGAGATCGCTCCGTGTGCACCGCCGGCCGGTTGGGTTGCCTACCTACAGGCGCGAAATTCCAGAAGGGAAATTTGGCTCTGGCACCCTTATTTTAGATTTCCGACCCCAAGTGTCCTATATCAAAATACTCCCCTACGCACCACCTACACGCTCCCAAACGGTGGCAGGTACTATAGGAATCACCCTGTATATTAAAAAGTTATACGTGTTACTTACTAAAAAACACTACGTAAACCTTAAAAAAAGGTGTGCCCAATAACTGTAAAAATAATGTCCAATTACTGTAAAATGTGCCCAATAACTATGTATTCTGGCAGAGTTGTTTAAAAGTAATTTCAGAGTTGTTCCTTATAACAACTACCAAAACTTAATATTTTTTTCTGAAAAGTTAAGCAATTATGGAACAAGTGGTTATTTCATATTTACATATTTGCAAATGGGTATGTATTTATTGAATTTTTAAAATATCAATATCCTTAAGTGTCCAATAACTGTATGGTTTACCCTATTGCATTGAAGGCCGGTTGACTTTTGCGTGATTGATTGTGTACAAATGTCGCAAATATTGTACATTGTTTACTTTTATATTTTACACAACTCACTTACTTTTAGAGACCGTTATCAACTTTGGTTTGTTTTGATTGTAATATGGTAATTTATTAAACCAATTTGCCACTTACACAGAAATAGTAATAGCTGAATAAACAAACACGTCCGATGCATTACGCGGCGCGCGGAATCGTGGATTTGTCTTCCCAGAAGTTTATTATCCCTACATTTTCCGTCCGTCGGTCTTTCCGCGCTAACAATTAGAAAATAATAGGGAAAAAACTCACTGTTTATCAACAGACCAATCACAGACAAGAATTCAACTGTCAGTTATGACATTTGTACCTATACAGCTGTTGTTTTGTGTATTGTTTTGTTTGAATTTGTTTTTGCATTATATATACTAAAATAAGAAATAGAGCAGTCAGTGACTGACGCCCAGAAAGAATTGTTAAGAGTTTGTCCGCCCTCATGAAGCATAGCGTCGACTCTGTTAACATGATGATAATGTGGTCCACGACGATTTTCCTCAAACTCGGCGGCTTTATTAACATGGTTAATGACGTTATTAATAACCAGAAAATCGTGGAACAATTCCATGTTTTATTTCACAGAAATATGTGAATGTATAGGTTAGGGCACTGAATAACCCAAGCAACACAGCTGCAAGATCCGTCCTGTAGCTGCAACTGTGCATGACTTTCACGCAACGAGTGGATAAATACACGTCTAGTGCGCCAAAGACAGTCAATTTGCAACTTGTTACATAAATAGCTTTGTTGGCGAATTAATTAACATATGCTTGTTGAAACAAAGATAAATTATTAAAATCTTGTACATCAATATAGTTGGGACCACCAATTACCATTTTGCCGTTGTTTCTAAATCTTTGTCAGACATGTAGATAGTCATCAGTGAACTCAAAAAAAACAAACTCGAAAGGGATGCGTAATACCAATCAGAAGAGGCAAAAGAAAAACGTTTGCAACGTCCTCTGCGGTCATCATTGCGTTGGACAATTCCCCCGCGAAACGCCGGTCTAGGGATGGGCAAAAATAACCGTGGTTATTTTGTCTCGATTAAACGTAGCGTAGTAATTAGGGATGGGCGATAACTGTTTTCACCTATCGATAAGTATCGGGTACTTACCTATCGATATATTTTACTTATCGATATGCCGATAATTATCGAAATATCGATAGTTATCGATATGTCGATAGTTATCGATAGTTATCGATAGTTATCGATAGTTATCGATATATGATTACTATCGATAGGTATCGATATATCGATATGTCGATAGTTATCGATATATAGATATGTCGATAGTTATCGCTAGGGATGGGCGATAACTGTTTTCACCTATCGATATAAGTATCGGGTACTTACCTATCGATATATTTTACTTATCGATATGCCGATAATTATCGAAATATCGATGGTTATCGATACACCGGTAACTATCGAAAGATCGATAACTACTATATCGATAAGTATCTGTATATCGATAGTTCTCGTTATGGCGATAGTTTTTAATATATAGGTATCGATATAATATTACCGATATTTTTTTTGAAAGCGTGTCTAAAAACTGCATGAGTTTACTTTTATATTTTGGCGAAAGAGCCCGACAAGACAAGAGAGCTCTTTTAACAAAATATGAAAATAACCGAATGCAGTTCTTGCAACTTTAATGGAGTTACCATATTAACTGTGCAATTATCGCAGGGCTCTTTAGCTTTCTACAATGCAATTACCGCTGTAATTAAGCGGTAATTGCACGTCTCATTTGAGAGAAATATTCGACGTATCGATAGTTATCGACAGGGATAGTTATCTTATCGAGTTTTATTAATAAAATCCATTTTCGATTTATTCTCGTGTAAAGTGACTATTAATAGTTACTCGACGTTTCTTTGCTCGGTCTACGACGTTTCGGCGCGACCGATTCGGCGCGACCGTTTAGGCGCAAAGATGTTTCGGCGCAAAGATGTTTCGGCGCGAAGATGTTTCGGCGCGGAGACGTTTGGACGCAGGGACGTTTGGGCGCAGAGAAGCTCGGCGCGAAGACGTTTTGGCGCGGAGACGTTTCGGCGCGAAGCCGTTTAACGTAGAGGCGCTTTGGAGCCATGCTATTTATACATTAATTTCACGATATTTTTAGTACAACATACACACAAGTATTTTTTTTAATATGCGCACTGTGTTAGTGCCAGTCATGGCGCAACGAATTGTTTCATAGCTAACATAATGAAAACTGAAAAATACGGTAGGTATTTAGTGAGTAGGTAACTAATCATGTCATATAAAAAATTTATGAATATTTTAAATGATCAAGATAAACTATTCTGAACCGTTCTTAAGGCTGGAGAATTTCTTTTTTACGTGCACACCGCTCTTGCGATAGCTTTATATTGGCGATTTTGGAATTTTTAACTTTTAATACCAACTAAAGGGTTTTTCAATAGGGACGCTCGAACTTTGACAGCGGATAGCGGCCATCTTGGTAAAGCGATAGCTGTCAAATTTGGCATGAGTACTTATTTAGTCCTGTCATTTCACCATGGAACCAAAGAGTATCCATAATAGTTACTCTTTGATGGAACGCTACACCCTTCAAAAACGCGTAGAAATTGTTAAAATTGATTATCAAAATCAGTGCTGCGTTCGCCTAACGTTCTGTGCGTTGCGTCCAATTTATGGCTTTCATGGCCGTCCTGCCGAATCCACAATGCGTTGTTTAATAAAAAATTTGAGACAACGGGGTCAGTGATTGATGAAGCAGTTCCTGTGCGTCAAAGAAACGCACGATTGTTGGAGAATATTATTGCCGTTCGGGACAGTGTGCGAGAAAACCCCCGACAGTGCATTCTGCGTCGTGCGCAAGAACTGGGTCTTTCTGGGACGTCAAATTGGCAGATTTTGCACCTAAACTGAGTATTCATCCATATAAAGTTCAGTTCCCTAGTCTACGCAGACAAACCTCAGTCAATTACGGCTCTAAATGCCAGCATAACTCGAGTTCTTTGTGAAATTGAGCCCAGTTTAAGCGAAGGTGTCCAAAATTGGTCCACCAGAATATTACATGCACAGCGGAGTCGCGGGGGCCATTTGGCTGAAATTATTTTCCATACATAATGTCATCGAATATCCTTTAAAATATTATAAAAATTGTGGTAATATAACTTAAACAGGTTGTTTTATTTCATTTCAAAGTTCGAGCGTTCTTAATGAAAAACCCTTTATAATAAAATGTTTGAATTATACCGCGATTTCTATTTTCATGAGCAACGATAGCGTAAACTAGAATCACGAACAGCTCTATTCTAAGTTGGCCAATCATTAATGACAATCCGTACGATATTGCTTCATACATTTGATGGCCCGTTTGATGGTATATTATAAGGTATCTACTTAGGCAGTTATTAGGAGAGCATGTAATATGCATCAAATTACGAGCATTAAGGGGGAAATTATTTAATTATTGCTAGAAATTTGTTTTGAAGTTCTACAAAAATCGCTTATTGTTTCTCATAATAGCTATTTATATATCAAGTACATAAACTGGGTCTTTATGGACGAGCCGTTTATTTAGCCGAGCGAGCGAGGCACAAATAAACAAGGCTAGTCCCCATAAAGCCTATTTATGGACGCGATATATACAAAGCTTTATGTACGACTGCAACAACCCTTAAAAATGAAAATTTCATGGAATTCAATAAACGATAAAATCTATATATCATTGACAACAGCATTTGTCAAGTATTTCTAAAATACTTAAATTTACCTTGGATTGACACCTAAGTACGACTGTCACATTGACAAGCGGCCGTTTTACTTTATCATTATGGACTAGGCCATAATATTGCAAATTATGGCCAATAATTGCGACTGTAATCACCAGAGTTGGACTGGGTCACTGGGTCAACTGGGTCACCTGGGTCACTAAATTAAACTGGATCACTGGGTCGCTGGGTCACGTCATACTCTTTTCAGTTAGACCCAGTGACCCAGTTGACCCGGTGACCCAGTTTGACACAGTGACCCAACTTGACCCAGTTTGACCCAGTCACCCAGTTTGACCCAGCGACGCAATTTCACCCGGGGACCCAATTCGACCCAGTCACCTAGTTTGATTGAATAACGCAGTTAAGTCAGTGCCCTCGGTTCAAGTGTACAGATTATGCAATAAATGAAATGCTGGTTTGTTGAAAATAATACTCGATTGCTTGACAACTGCCATTTCTGTGATGTTTGCTTTAATACTGCCGTAAAAAACTTTCCATGTCCCGAATTGTATTAGAATAATGTTATTTCTTTGCTTCAGGGCTTACCAGTTTGCTTACAGGTGTTCATTCACATTTAATTTTTTCTACTAGTTAGCTTAATCCAAATAAATCTTTTCTGCAAATACTTTCATTGAATACTTGACTACAAACTATAAACAAATGCATTTGATTTTTTTAGGTATTAGTTCTCTTGAATGAAATTGGGCTACGTGCTTGTTGCCGAATATTATTGAGGAAGTTTTTTTTTTAATTAAAAGTTACTTGAAATTGTTTTGTATGATACCTAACAATAATTTAATTACTAGGCCACCGGGTCAGGACGGGTCACTGAGTAAAGCTGGGTCAAGATGGGTCACTGGGTCAAGCTGGGTCACCGGGTCAAGCTGGGTCACCGGGTCAAACTGGGTCAAGCTGGGTCACCGGGTCAAGCTGGGTCACTGGGTCGGGTCAAGCTGGGTCACCGGGTCAAACTGGGTCACCGGGTCAACTGGGTCACTGGGTCACCGGGTAACTGGGTCAGTAAACTAACTGGGTCACTGTATGCTTGACCCAGTCCAACTCTGGTAATCACCGCATTATCAAGCAGTCGTACACAAACGTTATTGTAAATGAAACCTGTTTGTTCGTCAGCAGTGGTATCTTTACGCACGGGCACGAAGGGCTCATGCCCAGGGGCCCCGCGGGTTAAGGGGCCCCCGAGACGATACGCGAGCCTTAGATATATACTTAATTACAAATTGCAAATGCAACTAAAAGAAATTAGTAGTAGCTTTTCTTTGTCTATATTTGCAAATTCAAACTGTAGTTAACTTCCTTTAAAAGCAACAAACAAGTTCCTACAATTTCTTTCAAGATACACCGTACAGCTCCGTAAACGATGCGTTTCTGAGAAATTGCATAGAGCGGGCGCAAGTATGCTTAGGTTACTGTCCATTAATATACAGTGTTATTCATTTAGAAGTAGACATAGAGATTTCCTATGTCTACTTTTAAATAACAAAACTCTTCTGAATGACGCTTAATTTTATGCAACCAAAATAACATGCGCACGCATTTTGCACTGTCATTCTAGATTTTAATAAAAACCACAGTAAATAGTATGCTTTTAGTGAGGTTATTAGGTTATGATGAAAAGGTATTAAATTCGGTCGGTATTTCTTATGGGATTCTCTTCCACAAAAATTAAAACATTCAGTTTCATATCCACCGTTAAAATTGAGGGTTGTTTACGATGTCTTCACACGTCTTATGTGGATCGCATTTAAACAACCACTAATTTTTAAAGTAATCAACACAGAAAATAAGTCTCTTACGCTCCGTGAACGTTCTTACCTGCACTATACCAATTGACAATATCAAGTTTTTCTTCAGTTGAATACATCGCACACCAACGAAAATAAAAATACGGAAGCCAAAGCAGTAATATTCCAATTAATAATATGACAGCCAGATCTTCATTCGTTTTAAGAAGTTATTTTGGTTGCATCAAATTAGGCGCCCTTTAGAAGAGTTTTTGTCATTTAAAACTAGACATAAGGAAAACAATGCACATATCCCTATGTCTACTTCTAAATGAATATCACTGTATAAATATAAGCGGATTGTAGAAAGAGTGACAGGAACGCTATATACTTTTCTGTCGATACCCATATTTATTGATTTTAATGAGACCGTTTTTCTGAATTCTGTATCTTCCAAACAAACGGGCCATGTTTGTGCCCAGGGCCCCCAAATGGTTAAAGACGGCTCTGTTCGTCAGAATGAATACATAATTCCAAAATTCCTTAAAATTGAGTCGTAGGAATGCAGCAGTGGTCCCTGCAAAGTTAGGTAGGTACCTGTCTTCAATGAAAAAAACAAGTTATTAGAATAAAGGGAAATACCTTAAACTGTACAAAGAGCAAATGGCAATCAACAAACAACTGTAATATAAGAAGAATGTCAATTACCTGGCTTTTCGAATAATAGAAAAACAATCTTCTAGGCTTTGCCTGAGGACTGCTCATATTATAACCAATTAGATCTCTTTTTTCAAGAAAGCATTAAGAAGTAGGGGTAAGTATAAGTACTCCACCCTCTTTCATAAATTAGCACATTAATGTGAGCAAAATATTATTATTAGTGCAACTTCATCTGTAAACTTGTGAAAACTATTTGGTGTTAAGTGCAGTGCTTCTAAAAAATGGAAAACATTGTGAGTAAACGACAAAAACAAAAGTACTCACATCAGGGGTTCATCTACGTCTTCGACCGAATGAGTGCTTGCGGAGCGAAATTATTTTGGAGGTGTGAAAGAAAAGATGACTGTAAGGCTCGGATCCACACTGAAAACGGTAGTGTCGTTAAAAAAGTCAATGACCATTCTCATGACAGTTCGGCGGCAAGAGTTGAAGTCCAGGCAGCAGTTTCTAGAATAAAAGAGAGGGCCGGAGAAGTCATGGAAACAACAGCACAAGTTATCAATGCTTGCATTGGAGAATTATCGGAAGTTGCCCACGCAACAATGCCAAGCCATGGATCATTACGAAAGATAATTCAAAGAAAGCGAAATCTTGTGAGAGCGGCCCCTCCTGCACCCGAAAGAGTAGAGGATTTAATAATACCGGATGAATATAAAGTTTACGAACCACAGCCCGGGATTCGAGAAGATTTTTTACTAGCGGATAATGGTCCAGTTCCCGGAAGAATTCTAATTTTTGGACGTGAGCGGAATCTCCGCGTAAGTATTTCTTATTTTACATGATCTGGCAACACCGTCCAGATGGTTTTGGAAAAACAGTTTTTGCAGCAGCTGTGTACTTTAGAAAACGGCTTCATGTAAAAAAAACTGTCTAAATCGACCTGAAAGCAGATACTTTCCAGGTAATTTATCGATCAGAGAGTGTCACTTGGACGGTGTGGATTGGAAAGTATATTTTTCCAAAGCCTACCTATAAGTTTATGAAATGAAATTTTGCTCTTATTTCAGGTATTACGTGAATCCGACCACTGGTTCATTGATGGCACCTTTAAATCGACGCCACCTCTATTTTCTCAGGTGTATGTGATCCTGGCACACAAATTTGGCGGAGTTTATCATTATTGTACGTGCTTCTTCCAAACAAGCAAGGTGCAACTTATACAACAATGTTAGAAATGTTACAAAATTTAGAACCTGATTTGAATCCAACCTATATATCATGCGATTTCGAATTGGCTGCCATTTCAGCATTCAAAAATGCATTTCCAAGAACGGAAATGCAGGGATGTTTTTTTCATTTGACTAAAAATATGAAAAAGCACATCGCTACCTTAAACTTGTCTGGTCGCTATAATACAGATGCTAATTTTGCGCTACAGGCAAGAATGGTGGTGTCGCTAGCGTTTGTACCAACTGGAGATTTAGATGCTGCAATAGACAGGTTAGCAGACGTGTTGCCCGTGGAGTTGCAACCACTGTTGCAATGGTTTGAAGACTTTTATGTCGGACGATTGAATCGTCGCGGAAACGTTAGGAGACCTGCAATTTTTCCCCCGGAAATGTGGTCCTTGTACAATCGTGTAGTGAATGACATGGACAGAACCAACAACCACGCTGAAGCAGCCCATCGATGTCTTCAATCAGAAATGGGAATGGATCACCCAATCCTATGGAGGTTTATAGATGGCTTAAGAAAAATTCAAAAAGGTCGTGATATGTTCTATGAGCACCTGCTTGCAGGCCATGAACCACCAAAAAAGTTAAGAAAATATCGTGATGCTGATACGCGCATAAAAACAATAGTGGCTGATTACGCAAACAGAGACATAATAGACTATTTGCGTGGAATATCTCACAATTATGAGATGAATCCATAACTATACAAAATAATTGTTTTGTAAATTGTGTTTAATCCAATATATTTACATGTGGACATATATTCTGTAGGTATTTGTACAACATCTGGATAATGGATTAGTTTTAAGTGCATTTGAGAATATTTTATTGTGGTGTCTACATTATTTCCTATTGTTATTCTTTATTTGGTTGTGGGTATATACATTTTCATGTTTCCAATAAATTGGTAAAACTGCAAAATTATTTTTTCTTGTACAGTGCTGTTCACAAAGTTCGTTCCATATGGGAAAATTTTGTATTATTGATTTCTGGATAACAGATTCAGTAGGGTTGTACACATATGGAACGAATTTTATGAATAGCCCTGTATAATACTACAAATAATATTTATGGCTGTAATATTTGATGGTAAACCTAGAACAAATGAATGGAAGCTTATTGAACAATAATAATTTAGAATCCATGTCACACAGTGGGATGTAAGCTCATAAAATATGTATAGGTACGCCGAAACGTGCAGCGTCAAATCAGCTTTGCGCCAAAACGTCCCCGCGCCGAAACGTCTTTGCGCCGAAGCGTCTCTGCGCCGAAACGTCCCCGCGCCAAAATGTCTCCGCGCCGAAATTTCTCCGCGCCGAAACGTCTCCGCGCCTAAACGGCCGCGCCGAATCGGACGCGCCGAATCGGCTGCGTCGAAACGTCCCATTCCGTTCTTTGCTACCTTTATCAAGAGTTTTTTGTTAGATTTCGTAAATGTTAATCAATTGAAACTGTATATCTAAATTTGCAGTGTTCTTAGCTTTTTCTGTTTTTTTGTGACTGGTCTTCTGTAACCATCAATCAGATACCGATACATAGGCCATGATTACACCCTTTGATTGTCTTCTTTATTTTATCTAAAGAGTAGCCATTTTGATGCAACATTTTGTTCAAGTTTTTGAAGTGCTTCTTTTTTTTAGCAATCGTCAGTAAGACGAAAAGATCTATTTTCTAAAGATTTTATTACTGCGTTTATTTGGCATGGATGATGATGTGACGTAGCGCTTCTCTTGAGAAAGGGAGCAAAGTTAAGTTTCCGAAACGTTGAGCAACTAAAAATAGTAAATGTACACGAGAGTAAACCCGAAAATGGATTTTATTAATAAAAATAGTAGCGCTCGTTGAAATCTCAACAATAACATAATTTTATCGTACCAATAGTTATCGACATATCGATATATCAATAGTTATCGACATATCGATATATCAATAGTTATCGACATATCGGTATATCGATAGTTATCGACATATCGATAGTTATCGACATATCGATATATCAATAGTTATCGATATATCGATAGTTATCGACATATCGATAGTTATCAACATATCGATATATCAATAGTTATCTACATATCGATAGGTATCGATACTTATCGATAAGTATCGATATATCGATAGTTATCGATCTATCGATATATGGATTTTTTTAGCTCTACCTATTGTTATTCGATATATCGATAACTATCGATACCTATCGATATATCGAAAAAAATTCCCATGCCTAGTAGTAATCGCCAATTCGTACTGTTTGTAGTTGTTCCGTAGTTCGTTTACGTTAGCGCTTGTTGTGTATTCATTCTTCATTGTTTCGTTTATGAGTACGATTATCTTAATATCCTTAGAACTTAGAAGTGTACTACTTAGTACCTGAAGTTATTTGAGTGATAGCTTAAAATAAGAATGGTTAGACATTTACAGCTGGGAATCCGAATCTCAGGGGCATCAACTTATAACGAAACAGCTTCCTTAAGGTGTATTTAAACTTTAAACCGCTAGATGGCTCCGCTTGTATAATTTAAAATTTCGTCCTTGTCCAAATTGTTATCTGGCATGTGTCCTTGTTAAAAAAACTGGCATTTGATAACTGGCCTGGCTGTTGCGTGGCTCGATACTTTCTTTTCCGTTTTAATGTTGAGCCATCTAGCATCTAAAATTTAGTAAAGTTTCTTTGTTGAAAATTAGCGTGCGGTTAACTTTATGTATTTGTTTGACAAAATGTAATTTGTTGGTATTTTGCGGATAACTTTATGGCGGGAACGCAAGAATAAACTGTCTGGGTGTGGACTTTTTTTCTTTTACATCACGATCCTTACCAGGCCCACGATCGACCGAATTGGATAAGAGAGGAGTTCCACTTTAAACTTCTGGAGCTTTAAACAATCCAACAACTGCTCCATCGTACAAACAACAAACCCTGAAGCGTTTGTTAGAACAAAATATGAGTTACAAACGTAAGCAAACAAATCCCTTCTTAATGTGTAACTATGTATACGAGAAACGCCAATTTTTCAGCTGAAGGAACAAAAGAAGCTTCCATTACACAGGCACTTATTTTCCTGATTGTAATGATTTATGTCTTGATGACAATTAATTCTTGATTTTAAATAATTGTCGTAATTTACATTGGTTACGTTCAGGTTATCTCGATTGTTTTCTTGAAGAACACCATAAAGCCTTGTAAAGACCGGATTCTAGGTAAAATACCTATTCTCTATTTTTCAAGGCATTTCCCTGTAACACAAATACTAATCTGTGCCGTAAAAAAATACTCCATTTGACGCGCCTAAAATGCCTATTCTTATATATTGAGCGCCTAAATGTTTTAAAAACCTAAATAGCGGTTTATACTGCTGCCTTAAATTAGGTTTTCAATTTTTGTACGATGCGAGAATGCCAACGGTATGATTTACGATACCCTTGACACAACATGCAGCGGCATTTAGACAACAACGTAGGGGAAACCGGGGCGGAATGGGGTACCGGGGCAGAACGGAGTTCATATAATATTTCTCACTCTAATCGCCCGATATTACCAGCGCCCTCTGTCATTGCTTATATTAACGCACCGGACGAGCTGGCAACAACGAATATATTACTGCCAACAGTTGAACGAATTTTCAAGCTGACCTGCTGCATTTGTCTGTGTTTATAGAACTTTTCGCCATTTTTGATACAATGTAAGTTACTTATTCATTTATTTTGTGGTTTGTTGTCTATTTTACTGTAAACGGTATGATTGCATGTATCTTTTGACATGGTCCCATAAAAAATACTCATAAAGCGTGTTGACACAGAGCTAATGTTATGTTATTAGTAGTCGTGGGGCAGAATGGGACGGGGCTGAACAGGGAAGGACCCCATTCCGACCCAGCTTTATGTAATCTCCTAATTTTAAGTTTTGTGATCTCTTCAGATGGTTCGCAACTATGTCAGAAAGACCGATCGACAACAGTGGAGTATTGAAACTATGCAACAAGCGGTGAATGCTGTGATAAATGGCGAATTAGCGTGCAAGAAGGCGTCAATTCAGTTCCAACTGCCGCAAACTACATTAGAAAGATATGTTAAAAAACGTAAGGATGTTCCGAACTCTGTGATTGACAAAATAGCTGGCAAATATAAGTGTGTTTTTACCAAAGATCAAGAGGAAGAATTGGTCACATATTTAAAAGATATGCAAAAGAGACTATTTGGTTTATCAATAAAAGAAATGGTTGTGAGCATCCATTTAACAAAGAGAGTGAAATGGCGGGAGAAGACTGGGCCCAATCTTTCATGAGACGTCATCCAGAATTAAGCTTAAGAAAGCCCGAGGCAACTTCCGGAGCACGTGCAATGGGCTTTAACAGAGTAGCAGTTGCACAGTTTTTTACGTTATTGAATAAAGTTATTTTTGAGAAAAAAATTACCTGCGAAATGATATACAATTGCGACGAAACTGGTATTACAGTCATTCCAAAACAGCATTCAAGGATTATTGCAAATAGAGGGCAGCGTCAGGTCGGCGTATTGACTTCTGCTGAGCGTGGTAATACGGTAACGGCAGAAATTTGTTGCTCTGCTGCGGGCAACTATATGCCTCCACTGTTGATCTTCCCTCGAAAGAAAAAACAACAAGAATTTGAATTGGGTTTGCCGCCCGGTGGTTGGGCTGCGGCAAATGAATCTGGATGGATGAATACAGAAGTGTTTTTTGAATGGTTTAAAAAATTCATTCAATTTTCCAATGCAAAAAAAGATTATCCTGTTCTCTTACTGTTTGATGGGCATGCATCTCACACAAAAAACCTGGAAGTAATCGATCTAGCTCGTGAAAACGGTGTTATTCTGTGCTTTCCACCACACTGTTCGCACAAGCTACAACCTTTAGATATCGCATTCATGAGACCTTTAAGTTTATATTATGAAGATGAGGTGCGAAAGTGGTTACGATCAAACCCAGGTAAAGTCGTTACTTTGTTCCAAAATTCAACCTTATTTGGACAAGCTTTCATCAATGCTGCGATTATGAAGACCGCTCTAAAAGGTTTTGAAAACACGGGAATTTGGCCAACCAATGAAGGTATCTTCACCGATGATGATTTTTTACCAGCTGAGGCAACCAATATTCCCATTGATGAACCACAATCTTGTTCTACGGAAACCGTTGGTCCTCCAAAAAATATGGATTCCTTCAACAATCCCTCAACCCCACCTTCCAAAGACATAATGGAATTGAACAATACCATACAAACGGAAAGTAATGATCTACCCCAATGTTCCTGGATGCCTGACACTCCTAATGCGCCAATAAAAAAATCCACCGGTTCCAGTTTTCCAGCCCTTTCTCCTGAAGTTTTGATGCCACTACCGAAACTAAACTGTTAAGCGAGTGCAAAGAAAGAGAGGTAAAATTCGTACGTACGTGGAACGACTAAGACGTGTATTAAGTGCTCTTGGCTAATGTTTTCTAATTACACTTATAATTCAAAATATTATTAACAATAATGGCATCTGGTACTTCAAGTGTGGTGCGCGGTGTTAATTGTAAAATCTGTTCCACCAAGATAAACAGGTATGATGATAACATTGAGTGTACTGTGTGCGTAAATACTTATCATCTGCAATGCATAAATGTCACAATTTGCGAATATAATGCTTTACGTGAATCAAAAGAAATTCTCAACTGGACATGTACATTATGTCTGCCATCATCAGATAGCTCTGCACGGAAACCAACCACTAACAACTCGGTATCGCCAACGGACAATGTTGCTAGTGTTACTCTAGATCAGGTTTATTCTCTTATCCTTTCAATCAAAAACAACCAAGACGATTTTGCGAAATCTTTAAATTTGTGTCATGAAAAAATTGACGGGAATTCTACACTTCTAAAAGCACAACAACTGAAAATAGATGAATGTTTGGGCAAGATTGGACATCTGGAAGGTGAAAACACTAAACTGAGGGGAGAGATTCAAGATCTAAAGCTTAAGATCAATGATCTTGAACAACACACAATGAAGAACGCAGTGGAGATCAAAGGGGTCCCTGAGCTCAAAGATGAAGATGTTCTATTCGTTATGTCGCAGATCGGTAACGCCGTGGGTTTTGCTTTTAGCAACGGAATTGTAGATGCCTGCCACCGCCTAGCCCGTAATCCAAACAAGCCTACAGAACCGCGACCAATCATAGTTACCTTTACTAGTAGACTGTATAAATACGAATTTATGAAGTGCAAACGTGTCAAAAGAGTAACTGTTGTGAAGGATCTTGGTGAAATGTTCACGAATTTACCTAATATAAACTGCAATAGCCCCATTTACATTAATGATTCACTCACTGCAGAAAATCGTGTTCTTTACGCCAAATCACGTGCATTCGCGAAGGAACATAAAATAAAATACTTATGGACACGTGATGGCAAAATATTAATGCGTAAAGACGACCGTAGTAAAATTTTCCGTATCCGCTCCATAAATGACTTCAGAGATGTCCACTAATTATTCTACGATTTTTCTTTCTCCGAATATTGAATTTATTTTATTTTATTTTATTTTCTTTAAGAATTGGAACTTTTTTATTTTTAGTTACTGTTACTACAGAACCTTTTAATTATAGTTCAGTTAAACATTGTTTTCACAATATGCATATAGCCTCTGTTTTGGTTACCTATCATCATTGTCTGGTTATCATGCACATAAATTGGCTATTATTTTTTCAAATATTATAAACCTGCAATAAACAACTAATGCATAGTTTGAAGATTGCATTTCTAAATGTTAGATCAATTTTAAGTAATTTTGTAGATTTCAAGGAGCATATAATGTCGGCTAAGTATGACATCGTTGGAGTTGCTGAAACATAGTTAAGTCCAAAAGTTCAATCTTCAGCCGTAAGTGTACCTGGATATACGTTTATCCGTAAAGATAGAATCACTAAAACCTGGGGTGGTGGCCTAGGAATGTATATTAAAAACAATATTAATTACATGGTGTTCACAAATTTAGACGTTGAAGAAACGTTTGAGCAAGTCTGGGTTAAAATACAATTACATAATAAACACTTAGCGTTAGGAGCAATTTATAGGAAATTACAGTACAATTTTTCAAACTTTATTAATGAATTTGAAAATTGTTTAGCGCAGATGACAATTGCTACTGATGATATTGTTTGTATGGGGGATTTTAACTTGGATCTCTTAGACGCTGGCAAACAAGCTTGCTTACATTTTCACAATGTGTTATACGAAGTTGGACTAATGCAAATAATCACAGAACCCACCAGGATCACTGCAGGTTCTTCTACTTTGTTGGACTTAATCATTCTCTCGTCTAAGATAAGCGTTGATGATTATGGAACTATTCCTGTGCATCATATTTCGGATCATTCTCTGGTGTTTTGTAAATATCCTGTTAATATAGTCTATCCGAAATCTCTCCTAAAAACTTATAGGGATTTTAGCAAAATAAACAGTTCTGACTTCACCACATACTTGCATTCCCTTGACTGGAATCATTTGTATGAACTTGATAACATTAATGATATTGTAAATTATTTCAATTCGTGTATTTTGTGTATATTTGATGTTTTTGCGCCATTGAAAACGGTACGCATAACAAAGTCCAAATCTCCGTGGCTTACAGACAATATTAAGCTCATGATGTCATTGAGAGATGCTGCACTGCACAAATATAAAAGGTCAAAAAATAGTGCGCATTGGGATTATTATAAAAAACTCGGGAACCATACTACTTACGCAGTCAATTCTGAAAAAAAGGCGTATTTAGATCATCACGTTCGCAATAACAGATCTCGTAAGCTGTGAAAAGAACTAAAAAGTCTAAATATTTGCTGTAAAGACAAGATTGAAGTTCCTTTGCAACTAAGTAATCCTGATGATATTAATGAAGCCTTCATTCCCAAATCTAAAGATCGTGCCGATGAAAAATTAATAAATTTCTATTCGGAGAACACCATGTTTGATTTTCAAACACAACTTAAATTTCAGCAAGTTTCCGACAATGACATGAATGTTCTTTATAACATTAAATCTAAGGCTGTGGGTGAAGATGGAATTAGTGTATATATGCTTTTATTGTGCTGTCCGTTTTTGATTCCTCACATAACTTATATAATTAATGTATGTTTACAATCGAACGTGATTCCCGAGGTCTGGAAAATTGCGAACGTAATTCCTATACCTAAAAAAAACAACCCCGCTTGCTACAATGATTTGCGTCCAATTAGTATACTGCCGGTTTTGTCAAAGGTTTTAGAGAAGATAATGGCAAATCAAATCAAAGTTCATCTTCATAAGTACTTGGTATTACCTAAGATGCAGTCGGGTTTCAGAAGTGGACACAGTTGTTCAACGGCTTTATTAAACATAACAGATGATATACTCACCGCATATGATTTGGGAATGCTCACGATACTAGTCATGCTGGACTTCTCTAAAGCCTTTGACACTATTAATCATGAAATACTATTGAGTATACTGCACTATGTGGGATTTAGTATTGATGCTGGTACTATTATTAGAAATTATCTTTGCAATAGGAGACAGCTAGTGTTGCTAAATGGTAATAAATCTAAAGCTATTCCTTTATGCAGTGGAGTGCCACAAGGTTCCATATTAGGTCCCTTGCTTTTCATTCTATACACCTCAAATTTCCACAAATGTCTGGAGCATGTAAAGTTTCACCAATATGCAGATGATACCCAGCTATATTATCAGTTTCATGAGTGCAATGTAACACAAGCTGTGGAATATATAAACAACGATATTTGCAAATTGGTGGGAGTATCGGAAACACATGGACTGTACATTAATGCTTCCAAATCGTCGGTAATGCTATTCGGGAGAACTAAAGTTACAGAACGGCAAAAATATGCGGTAAAAATTCGGGTAAAAGACCCTACGTTGTGTGTTCAAGATAAAGTAAGGAACCTTGGAGTGATAATGGATTCTCAACTGCGTTTCAAAGAACAAGTCTCAATAATGATCACAAAAGCATTTATGAACTTAACATTGATATTTAATCATCGCTATAGCATAGGCCAACATCTAAAAATCATACTGTGTGAATCGCTTGTCCTCTCACAGTTCAATTATTGTGATACTCTCTATGGCCCTTGTTTGGATGCAGCTGACAAATATAGAATTCAAAAAATCCAAAATTCGTGCCTTAGATTGATTTATGGTGTAAAGAAGTATGATCGCATCTCTCATAAATTAACCGAAATAAAATGGCTAAACATGGAAAATAGGAGACTTGCGCATGCAGCTACTTTATACCATAAAATAATCATCGAAAAAACACCAACTTATGTTTACGATAAAATCAGATTCAGTTCCAGTCCTAGATTTCCTACCTTAATAACTCCACCTTTACACAAAACCTCCGTCTTCGAACGATCTTTCAGTTACAGCATTGCCAAGCTGTACAACGTATTGCCACACTCTTGCAAAAACCTAAACTCTATAAAATTTAAACAGTATATCCAACGCTTCATACTTGATCGTCAAATATTGCAGCAAACACAGTGCAGTTCTCATGTAAATGTATTCGTCTAATACTAATTCATTAGTTAACAATCTATTCTGTTTTCATTGTTATATAACTGCGACCACACGCTAGCTAAATTCTGTATTGGTATTCTGTCAACCTTAATGTCTTTCGTTCTTTAAATATATATTTATGTAAAATGGGTTAAGTGGAAGAGCAGAAGTAGGAGCTTGGGCGACTACTATCTGAACTTCGCCCTTTTAGTTACTATTGCTCTCGCAATGTAGGTACTCACTTGTTTTGCATACTGAATTGATAATATGGGTGCAATATGTAACCAAATAAAGGTATTATTATTATTATTATTAAAACCGCCATTATTACAGAGTCTCCTTATAAAGCGGAACTGACTGAGGCAATAACAAAATCGGAAAAAGTCAATGAAGCACAAAAAAACAAAGTTAAAAAAAAATTGTCAGGTGTGTAACAGAAGGTAACCATAGAGAAAAAGTCTGTTCCAAAAAAGATAATAACAGAAGTTCGAGATAGCTCGGAAGAATCTGAGGAGGAAGACGACACCTTATGTTTATACTGTAATGACCAATATTCCACTTCAACTGAAGGGTGGGTTTCATGTGTTCAGTGCAAAAAGTGGGCTCATAATTTAAAAGACTATATGACGTATACAACACACAAAAGTGAAGCAAACATCTATAGGACAGAAGTATATCTCTGTCCTTTTGTGTGATTTGCGCATAGTTTGTTATTCCGTTGCTAGTCGCTTGTAAATTCCAATATTCTGTCTTTGTTAGTACCATTACATAAAAAAGATAGTATTAATTCCTGACGTTGGAATAGCATCATACACTAAAATAT